TATGATCCTTTATATTTCTTCAGTGTCAGTTGTATTAATTTAATTGACTTAATTGTATTTAATAATCTCTCCTTTTTCATTTATAGTTTTATTGATTTGAGTCTCTTTTCTTTTTTCCCCTTGGGGAATCCGGCTGAGGTTGATCAATTTTTTAAAAAGTCTTCTCAAACAATGAACTTTTAGTTTCATTGATCTTTGCTATTGTTTCCTTCATTTCTATTTCATTTATTTCTGCTCTGACCTTCATAACTTTTTCCTCCTACTAACTTTTTCTTCTTTCTCTAGTTGCTTTAGTTATAAGGTCAAGTCGTTTATTTGAGATTATTCTTGAATCTTGAGGTAGGATTGCATTTTTCACTTCCCTCTTAGAATTGCTTTTGCTGCATGATATAGGTTTCATGTTGTTGTGTTTTCACTGTCATTTGTTTCTAAGTATTTTTAAATTTCTCTTTGATTTCTTCAATAGTCTTTTGGCTACTTAGTAGCATACTATTTAGTCTCCATGTGTTTGTGGTTTTTACTGTGTGTGTGTGTGTGTGCGTGTGTGTGTGTGTGTGTGTGTGTGTTTTCCCCTGCAATTGAATCCTAATTTTATAGTGCTGTAGTTGGAAAAGATGGAGAAGGCAATGGCACCCCACTCCATTATTCTTGCCTAGAAAATCCCATGGGCGGAGGAGCCTGGTGGGCTGCAGTCCATGGGGTCACTAAGAGTCGGACAGGACTGAGCAGCTTCACTTTCACTTTTCACTTTCATGCATTGGAGAAGGAAATGGCAACCCACTCCAGTGTTCTTGCCTGGAGAATCCCAGGGACGGAGGAGCCTGGTGGGCTGCCGTCTACGGGGTCGCACAGAGTCGGACATGACTGAAGCGAGTTAGCAGCAGCAGCAGCAGCAGCAGCAGTTGGAAAAGACACTTGGTGCAATTTCAATTTTCTTAAATTTACCAACTCTTGATTTGTTACTTTATATATGACCTATCCTGGAGAATGTTTTGTGTGCCCTTGAGAAAAAAAGTGTATTCTACTGCTTTTAGATGTAATGTCCTAAAAATATCAATTAAGTCTCTGTTTTAACATGTCATTTAAGGCCTTTGTTTTTTTATTAACTTTTTTGTCTGGATGATTAGTCCATTGGTGTACTTAGGATGTTTAAGTACCTCACTATTATTGTGTTACTATGGATTTCCCTTTTCTATGGCTGTTAGCATTTGCTTTATGTATTCGAGTGCTACTATATTAGGTGCATAAATATTTACGATTGCTATATCTTCTACATGGGTTGATCTCATGATCATTATGTAGTGCCCTTCCTTGTCTCTTGTAACAGTTGTTGAAGTCTTTTTTGTTTTTTTTTTTCTGATATGAGTTCTTGTATTCCTGCTCTCTTTTTATTGGCATTTGCATGGAATATATTTTTTCTCCTAATTTTCTGTCTGTATGTGTCCCTAGGTCTGAAGAGGACTTCTTGTGAACAGTACGTATAGAGTCTTTTTAGAATCCATTCAGCCATCTTTGTCTTTTTGCTGACACATTTAATCCATTTATATTTAAGGTAATTATCAATATGTATGTTTCTCTTACCATTTACTTAACTGTGTTGGGTTTTTGTTGTTGTTTTTGTTTTTTTACGTTATTTTTTTTCTTTTCTTGTGTTTAGCATCTAGTGAATTTTTTTCAGCAGTTTTTATAAAGCTAGTTTGTTGGTACTGAATTCCCTTAGTTTTCACTTATCTGTGAAGCTTTTGATTTCCCTTTTGAATATGAATGAGATCCTTGTTAGATAGAGTAATTTTGGTTGTAGGTTTCCCCCTTTCATTACTTTAAATATATCCTGCCACTCCTTTCTGGGCTGCAGAGTTTCTGCTGAAACATCAGCTGATACCTTAGGATTCCCTGATATATTATTTCTTGTTTTTCCCTTAATGTTTTTATTATTTTTCTTTTAATTTTTGTTAGTTTGATTAATATATGTCTTGGTGTGTTTCTTCTTGGGTTGTATCCTGTATGAGATTCTCTTTGCTTCCCAGACTTGGGTGACTATTTCTTTTCCCACGTTAGGGGAGTTTTCAACTATAAATCTTTTGAAATACTTTCCAGGAAATTTTCTCCATCTCTTTTTCTTCTGAGACCCCTATTGTGTGTTTAGCATTGTCACAGAGGTCTCTGAGACTGTCTTCATTTCTTTTCATTCTTTTTTTCTTTATTCTGCTTTGCAGAAGTTATTTCCACCTTTCTATCTTTGTCACTTATCCTTTCTTCTGCCTCAGTTATTCTGCTATTGATTCATTCTAGAGTGTTTTTATTTCCAGTCATTGGGTTGTTTATTACTATTTGTTCTTTAGTTCATCTAAGTCTTTGTTAAACACTTTATCTATCTTCTGTCCATGCCTCCAAGTTTATTTCTGAGAATTGGGTCATCTTTACTATCACTACTCTGAATTATTTTTCAGATAGATTGCCTATTTCCTCTTCACTTATTTGATCTTGTGTTTTTACCAGTTTCACCATATTTATTATTCTTCTTATTGTGTCTAACCTATTGTCTTTGAAGTCTCCTTTCTGAAGGTTGTAGGGCCATTGCTCCTTTTGCTTATGGTATCTGCCCCCGGTGGATGAGGTTGGCCCAATGGCATGTGTAGGTTTCCATTTGGGAAGAACTGGTGCCTGTGCTCTGGTGGGTAGAGCTGAGTCTCATCCCTCTGATGGGCAGGCCCACATCATGTGGTGTGTCTTGGTATACCTGTGTGGTTAGCACTTTAGACAGCCTGTCTGTTAATAGGTGGGTTTGTGTTCCAGTTATGCTCGTTTTTTAGCATGACGTATTAAGCACCTTGGAGTCAAGGTGGAGACTTTCTGTTGAGATTTTGCCAATCAATATTCCTTGGGTCTCAGAATTCTCTGAGATTTCCCAAGTGGTGCAGTGGTAAAGAATATGCTTGATAACATCATTGACTCAATGGACATGAATTTGAGCAAACTCTGCAAGATAATGAAAGACAGAAGAGCCTGGGGTGTTGCAGTCCACGGGGTTGCAAAGAGCCAGACATGATTTAGTGACTGAACAACAACAAGAAGAAATTCAACAGTGGTCCAATGTCCTGGCCTTGGCACTCCCACTTCAGAGGCTCAGGCCTAACCCCTGGTTAGGGAACCATGATCCTGCAAGCCACACAGTGCAATGAAAAAAGGGTCAGAAAAGAAAATAAACAGACAAACAAAACCCAAGACAAATAACAAAGACAAAAACAAAGGACAATAGTTTTTTAAAAAGAAAAACAAATGAAGAAACAAAACCCAAGATAGATGGTAAAAGAAAAATGAAATAAAGAAAAAGAAAAATTAAAACACACACACACATACAAAAAAAGGAACAAAAAACAATCAAAATAAAAAACCAGAGAGCAACCAGACAAATAAAAGAACCTAAAAACCAAATCAGAGAAATTAAAAACAAAACTAAGAAAAACAAGAAAGAAAACCAAAGTAGAATACAAACTAAAAATGAAGTAAAATAAATGTTAAAAGCAAAGCAAGGAAAGAACACACAACAATGGAAAGGCAAAGTAAAAATAGAAAAATAAAAGCTGTATTAAAAATAATGAAAGCAGTGACAGAACAGAACATATAAAAATAGCAATAAGCATATTTTCTTGGTGTCTCATCTGTCAGTGTTTTTACCCCCACTATGATCCCCAGCCAAATTGTGCTTTCCCTGATATTCTCTAGTTGGTTTTCTGTACTTGTTGTGGACAACGTGTGGGCATTTCAGACTCTGAGCTGGCCCAACCATCATATGTACTTGACCCCATCGACTGGTCTCAGTTGTGGGAACACTCATTGTCTATTCATATATTCCACAGATGCAGAGTTTATCCAGCTGATCATGGGGATTTAATTTGTGGCTTATGCAATTACATAGAAGATTTTCATTCCTCTTCCTTATTCACTCAATTCTTGAACTTTAGCTAAGGCTTTAGCCCCACCTCTGCATGTGGGCCTCCCACAGAGGTCTGCTCCTGAGGCTTCCCCAAAGCACTCAGGTCTGACCTGCTGAGGACAGGGCATGGAGGTGATCTGGCTGCTGGGCCACAGAGCCCTGGCAAAGACAGGTGCATGGGGGATCAGTGGCTGCAAGAGATATTGTCCAGCCAGTGAGGAGGTGCACAGGGAAACCAATGGCCAGCGGTTCAAGAGATCCAGCTATAGTGGTAGCATTTCCCATAATCCACTATCTGTAGTGAAAGGATCAGTCTTGTTGGTGACCTTTCCTAGTGCCTGGTGACAGGTGCTTCTTCTTCTTCTTTATTTTTAATTTGCAAACCTGTTTCACCTAACAATGGTCAAAATGTTGTGTAATTTTTTAACAACTTAAACTTTTATTTGTTGGAAGCATGCTGTTGATGATGACCACAAGGAGATGTGGAGCCACCCTAGAATGTCATAAAGCCAGCATTGGTGAATTTTCTTAATTATTCACAGGGATGTTTACATGAGAGAGGTAAACTGGGAGGGAAAGATGATACTCAAAGCAATTCCTGAAAGCTGGAGGGAACTGTTTAGTGCGGTGCTTGGAGAGGAAGGGACATCTCACATTTTCTTTTTATCCCTTTTTCCAAGGGTCATCTGATTGACAGCCTCTTAATCCTGTGAGGTATCAGTGAGAAACCATCCTCCCTTCCATTGATTCCTTCTGATTCCTCTGCATGAGTGGACCTAAAACCTGCCCCTGGAGCCAGCATTGTTTTTCTCTCCAGGACAGAAACTATCTGGATCCTCAGGCCCCAGTGCTCTGAACTCGTTTTTGCAACTCACAGAAAGTGTCTTTATTTTTCATAACTCTCATGTACATAAATGTTGGACATAGATATTTCCCTTTGGTAATATCTACGCAGCTTGGGTTATTTTGCTATTTTTCTAAGGTTCAATAGGACTATAAACTGATATTGTGATTGGGGTGGAAATGGTAAGAAAAGAAGAATGAAGGAATGCAACACACTTACTTTTATAAATATAGAAACTACCACCAATCCATTTGGGCTCTTTGCAGCTTCTGTGACATTGGTATATAGCTCGTGGTTATAGTGGATGAGCTGCACCTGGCAGGAGGAAAAAGCAATAATGCAATAATGAGAACAACAACGTAACATTAAAAGATGTGAGGCACTCCATAGCCACCCTACATAAGGGTAAACTGTAAAGTAAATTGAAACGTAATTGGAAAGATAATTCTATAATTAAGATTTGAGGGATATGGTGTGTGTCATAAAATACATGCACATGCACACACATATACAAAAATATCCATACATATTTGCAATTATTTTCTGGTAACAATCATGGCTTTAATAAGTTCAGTGTCCATCTGGCTCTGGCTTCATTTGAGGACATTTCCACTAAAGGGTATGTAAAATTATTTTTCCTTACTAGAAGCAGAACTGCCCTACAGAGGTGGGCCAGCTTTCCAGGCTGCACCTACAGTGGTCATTAGCATCAAGAAAATCTTCTTCATGGCCATGGGCAAGCAGAGAATTGCTAGATCCTGTCAGTCAAGTGACTCTGGAGGAGACTGGCCCACCTGCAAGATGAAGTGCTCCTGAGGGAGAGGAAGTTGGTGGCTTAGGTTTCTGATGCATCAGCCTGCCCAGGTTATCTGTACAAGACTTAACTTGCTCCTCATTGAATGAAGATCAGTAATCTGCCTGTTGAGCTTTTATGCATTCATTTCAGGCTGTGGTTTTAAAATATACTTTAACAGCATGGGTGCATAATTTTGTGATAAATTAATGATAGAGAAATTTAAGACAAAAGTTGCCCCAAACTTTTCTAATTGTAGTCCAAGCAATATGATTATTAAGAGTTTAGTACATACCCTTCCATATATTTTTGTGTTTATAACTCATTCACTCACACACACACACACACACAGAGTTTAAAAAATATTAAATGGGCAAATTCCTAGGAACATACAACCTACCAATATTGCATCAAGAGAAAATAGAAACCTGAACAGATGAGTACAAATAAGGTGATTGAAGTAGCAATCAAAAACTTCTCAGAAATAAATAAATAAATAAATAAAATAAAATCCCTGGATCAGATGGTTTTGTGGGTGAGTTCTACCAATCTTTCAAATTAGAATTCATATCAATCCTTCTTAAACTCTTCCAAAACACAGAAGAAAGAACATTCCCAAATTTATTTTATTAGGCCAGAATCATCCTGACACAAAGCCAGACAAAGGCACTGCAAGAAAACAGAACTAAAGGCCAATATCCTTAATAGAACAATGCACTTCCCAGGTGGCACACCAGTGGTAAAGAACCTGCCAGACAATGCAGGAGACATACGAGATGAGATGCAGGTTAGATCCCTGGGTCTGGAAGATCCCCTGGAGGAGAGCATGACAACACACAGCATAATGGAACTGAGGGCCCTGAGATAAATCCTCACACTTATGGTCAAATGTTCTTCTACAAGGGTGTCAAGAACACAGGATAGACTCTTTAGTAAATTATTTTGGTAAAACTAGCTATCCCATGCAGAATAATGAAATTGGACTCTGCTTCATACCACATATAGAAGTCAACTAGAAAAAGAGACTCAGATGTATAGAACAGACTTGTGGACTCTATGGGAGAACCCGGGGGTGGGATGTTTCAAGAGAACAGCATCGAAATATGTATATCTAGGGTGAAACAGATCACCAGCCCAGGTTGGATGCATGAGACAAGTGCTCAGGCCTGGTGCACTGGGAGGACCCAGAGGGATGGGGTGGAGAGGGAGGTGGGAGGGGGGACTGGGATGGGGAATACATGTAAATCCATGGCTAATTCAATGTATGACAAAAACCACTGCAATGCTGTAAAGTAATTAGCCTCCAACTAATAAAAATAAATGGAAAAAAAAAAAAAGTGGGTTAGACTTATGTATTAAACCTGAAGCTGTAAAACTAGTAGGTGAAAGAAAACATAGGAAAAGATTTTTTGACATTAGTCTTGGCAATGGCTTTTTTATTATGACAGCAAGAAGCACAGGCGATAAGCAAAAATAGAACAATGGAATTGTATCAAACTAGAAAACTTCCGCAAAGTAAAATGTGTGTGTGCTCAGTTACTCAGTCATATCTGATTCCTTGTAACCCATGGACAGTAGCCCTGCCAGGTTCCTCTGCCCATGGAATTTACCATTTTCTACCATTTCCATTTCCTACTCCAGGGGATTTTCCCAAGCCAGGGATCTAACTTAATCATTTGCATCTTCCACATTGGCAGGTGGATACTTTACCACTACAGCCACCTAAGAAGCTCAAAGGAAGCAACCAAAACAGTAAAATGGCAACCTACAGAAAAGGAGAAAATATTTGCAAACCATGATTCTTATAAGGATTAATATCCAAAATATACAGGTAAATCATACAGCTCAATACCAAAAACAAAAACAGACACCTGACTTTAAAAATGGGCACTTTAATATATAATAATAATATAATATATTATATATATTATATATAATAATAATAATATAATTATAATATTATAATAATAAACTTTAAATTGACATTTCTTGAAACAAAACACACAAATGTCCAATAGATACATGAAAAAGTGCACAATATCACAAATCATTGAGGAAATGCAAATCAAACCCATGATGAGATATAACCTAACACTTGTTATAACGGCCATTAAAAAAAAAGACAAGGGATAACAAGTATTGATGATGATGTGGAGAAAAGGGAAGACTTGTGCACTGTTGGTGAAAGTGTAAATTGGTGCTGCCACTATGGAAAACAATGTGGAAGTTCTTCAAAAAATGAAAAATAGAGCAACTACATAATCCAGCAACACTACTGTGCATATATGTCCTAAAGAAATGAAATCTAACTCTTAAAGAGGTATTTGCACTTCCATGTTCATTGTATCATTATTCACAATAGCTAAAATATGGAAGCAACATGAGGATCCACTGATGGATGAATGAATAAGGAAAATGTGATACATGCCCCTTCCTTCCTACATACTGGAATATTATTCAACAATAATAGTGACTGAAATCCTATCATATGTGACAACACCAATCAACTAGATGAGCCAGAGTACTTTATGCTAAGTGAAATATGCCAGACACAGAAAGACACATACTTAATAAACTCACTCATATGTAGAAAATAAAGTAGTCAAACTCACAAAAGGAGAGTATAGAATAAATGATCCAAAATCTTGAAAACGAAATGGAGTTACAGATAAAAAGCCTGGAGACAACGACTGAGAAGATGTAAGAAATGTTTAAGAAGGACCTAGAAGAAATAAAAAAGAGTCAATCAAAAATGAATAATTCAAAAAATGAGATCAAAAACACTCTGGAGGGAACCAACAGTAGAACAATGGAGGCAGAAGATAGGATAAGTGAGGTAGAAGATAGAATGGTAGAAATAAATGAAGCAAAGAGGAAAAAAGAAAAAAGAATTAAAAGAAATGAGGACAACTTCAGAGACTTCTGGGACAATGTTCAGTGCCCCAACATTTGAATCATAGGAGTCCCAGCAGAGGAAGACAAAAAGAAAGACCATGAAAAAATACTTGAGGAGATAATAGTTGAAAAGTTCCATAAAATGGGAAAGAAAATAGTCACCCAAGTCCAAGAAACCCAGAGAATCCCAAACAGGATAAGCCCAAGGCAAAATACCCCAAGGCACATATTAATCAAATTAACAAAGTTCAAACACAAATAACAAATCTTAAAAACAACAAGGGAAAAACAACAAATAACACACAAGGGGATTCTCATAAGGATAACAGCTGAACTTTCAATAGAAACTCTTAAGGCCAGAAGGGAATGGCAGGACATACTTAAAGTGATGAAAGAGAAAAACCTACCACCCAGATTACTGTACCCAGCAAGGATCTCATTCACATATGAAGGAGAGATCAAAAGCTTCACAGACAAACAAAAGCTGAGAGAATTCAGCACCACCAAACCAGCTCTTCTACAAATGCTAAATGATCTTCTCTAGACAGGAAACACAGAAAGGATGTATAAACTCGAAGCCAAAACAACAAAGTAAATGGCAAGGAGATCATACTTATCAATAATTACCTTAAATGTAAATGGGTTGAATGCCCCAATCAACAGACAAAGACTGGCTGAGTGGATACAAAAACAAGACCACTATATATGCTGTCTACAAGAGACCCACCTCAAAACAAGGGACACACACAGACTGAAAGTGAAGGGCTGGAAAAAGATATTTCACACAAATGGAGACCAAAAGAAAGGAGGAATAGCAATATTCATATCAGATAAAATAGACTTTAAAATAAAGGCTGTGAAAAGAGACAAAGCAGGACACTACATAATGATCAAATAATCAATCCAATGAGAAGATATAACAATTATAAATATATGTGCACCCAACATAGGAGCACCACACTATGTAAGATAAATGCTAACAAGTATGAAACAGGAAATTAACAATAACACAATAATAGTGGGAGACTTAAATACCACACTCACACCAATGGATAGATCAATTAAACAGAACATTAACAAGGAAAAACAAACTTTAAATGATACAATGGACCAGCTAGACCTAATCAGTATCTATAGCACATTTCACCCTAAAACAATCAATTTCAACTTTTTCTCAAGTACACACGGAACCTTCTCCAGGATAGATCACATCATGGGCCATAAATCTAGCCTTGGTATATTTTAAAAAATGGAAATCCTTCCAATCATCTTTTCTGACCACAATACAATAAGATTGGATGTCAATTACAGGAGAAAAACTATTAAAAGTTACAACATATGGAGGCTAAAAACAAGCTTCTGAATAACCAACAAATCACAGAAGAAATCAAAAAAGAAATCAAAATATGCATAGAAATTAATGAAAATGAAAACACAACAACCCCAAAACCTATGGGACACTGTAAAAGCAGTGCTAAGGGGACGGTTTGTAGCAATACAGGCTTACTTCAATAAATAAGAAAAAATGTCAAATAAATAACCTAATTTAACACCTAAAGCAACTAGAAAAAAAAAATGAAGCACCCTGGGGTTAGTAGAAGTAAAGAAATCTTCAAAATTAGGGCAG